GTCCCCCGTGGGCAAGGGTCGCTCCTCTCGCCGTGCCAGGCAGCACAAGGACCGGCCGCAGCCGAGCTCAGAGCAGGCTGCCCCCAAGGCCCCGTCGGTGATGGGTGGCAGTGGGGCTGAGGCTAGAAGATGCCTTTGGCGATCTTCAGGCCTTTCTGCTTCATCCTGGGCAGGGTGGAGCTGGAGCCGTGCTTGATCTTCACCCCCTTGGAGAAGCCCCGCTTCTTGAGCACGAAGTCATAGTTGGCGGCAGAGTTCATGGCGTAGAAGACATTGGCATTGTCAGGGATCTTCAGCTCTGGAAGTGAACAAAGGTGAGGGTCAGTCAGGCACCCTGTCCCTGAAAGGGGCCCAGAGTGGGGCTGAGAGTTGTTCCCGGGTGCTGGGATCCCTCTGCTGTCACCTCCCAGCCTTGCTCCAACCTGCTGCTGCCCAGGCTGCAGCACCACGTGGCCAGCAGGGGATGCGGCCCCCTCGGGAAGCCCCCCTCACCCCAGCACACACCTCTCTCCTCCGAGATGATCTGAACGAGCTCATAGTCTTCAGGCCGGTCCCCGTCCAAGTTGTGTTTGGCCATGGCCTTGCGAATAACGACCGGGGTCTTATCCTGGCTTGTCACCTGTGAGCACAGAGCGTTATTAACCAGGGAGTTCAAAACACTGCAAAGCCTCCCAATACTCTCTCCTCCCCAAATGGGCCATGCCCGCATCTGAGCAGGGCGAGCCACCCCTCCCCGGCATCAGCGCGGGTGCCCCGTGCTAACCAGGATGCTCTTGTACATGTTGCCGTTGTCCACAGCCAGGCTGACGCGGATGATACAGCAGTCATCGACCTGCTGGTTGTAGAGGGGCAGCGAGAGGGAGGAGTAGCTGGAGATGCCGGAGACGGAGCGCTTGTGGGTGCGGGAGGCCGTCACCGGCGTGGATGAGACGGAAGAGGACGAGGCACTGCTGGAGCCCGAGCCAATGCCCGACGTATCCAGGGAGGAGAGGGAGGTGGATTCCCAGAACTGGAGGGCAGGGAGGAGAGGGGATGCGGAGGACACAGTGGTTTTAGCTTCTCCATCGGCCACAGACGGGGCGTACCAGCGCTGGGGGAGGGAGGCCAGAGGGATCTCACTGACCTGTGACAACGGGGGACCGACACGACTACAGGCACTGGCGTGGGGAGGGACCTGCGAC